AGTATTATAGTGATAGTAGAGAATAGAGTAGTTAGAAAAGGCGAATTGGATTTTTAGGGTATTAAAAAATGCTAAAATGACATTTCAGAGGATTGCGGCAATACTGCACCTGTACATAATTCTTTATAAATTTCCAGCACTACCGCCAAGCATCGACACGAGTTAAAGACGATATCGATCACAAATAGGCCAACCCGCAGAGTTAATAGTTATTCGTTATTTGATCAGATCAAGTTGATAATGGTTGCCTTGATTAAATACCTTTCATTAACTTTTATGGATTTGTACTTAATAGCAGAAGAGTAGTGTGATATCATTATATTTTACTACGTATTTTGACCAGACCTCCTAGTTAGCGATTGTCAAGATAACCTCGTCAGTAACTCGTTACATTCTACTGTTACATAAATATTTCATAGCTGTATTTTATATCATTCTACATCGAAACACACAATAATCTAAAGCCGATTTCTATTGCTTACTAATAATGATAAAAGAATGTAYTGTGTTTCAGGTTTGGATTTGATTAGAACTGTATTTTTGAAGTTACTTGGTAATTGTGACCCAGTAGATTGTTTTCGTTTTCTCTGTATATAAAGCTGACTATTTGTTTAATTATTGAAATCTTCAATTGAGATAAATACATGATATAAAAGAATGACTGGGATACCTGGAGCTGCGTTAGTTTTCTCAAGTATGCTCTCCGTGATTTCATTCTTTGTYCCATTGGTAAATGACGTAGAGCTATTTTCCACCTTATTTGACTCCGCTGTGGCATTTGATTTAGTAGTGCCGTTATCCGGCGTAGAACATTCGCCATATGGCCTGCAATAAGCATTAACAAGCACTATGAAGAATAAAAGACGCACCATTGCGTAACGGTACGTTCGAATGCTCGAATCTGTTGAAATAGTATATGTTTGTAGGTCATTATATRGGAACCTATCAGGAAGACGAGTCGGGAACTGAAACAAAGTGACAGGTTATTGTCACAGCTAGACATCTTCCAAAAATAATTKACAACGACTTTATATGTTAAAAAAACTGCGCACAAGTCAATGCAACATACAGTTGTCACTCTTCGAACGATGTCTTCTATTCTTCTTCATGAGCTTTAGATGTATGATAYTTATTTCCGAATCGCCGTACGTACGTCATGTCTCTCATCACACAAATATTGTTACATGCAGTTACAATCCAATGATCTTCCGAYTTCGTTTCCGCTTTTGATGCAATTAAACAAAACAGAACCGCACGAAATYAAGCATCAAGAAAAAAAACAAGAACTATGAATTTAAAAAAAGCATGACGACAACAATAATGAATTCGATGTCGAGGACTACATGTGACTCAGTTCACATATTAGTAACACTACTAGTAAAGACTTSTCGATCTACGGAGGTAAGGTAAATAGACACTCCTTCGCAATCTACGGTGGTAAGGTAAATAGAAATCTGCTCGCAGGGGTAGTCAAGGACTAGCAGTTAAGTGTAAACAAAGTTAAGCCGTGAACAACACAGACAATAAGATCTGTTGAACTAATAACCTATTATATTAATATCTCGATGAAAGGTTTTCTCAAATGTTAAAAAACTTGATACRTTCGCAAGTTAAGTGGAAGATATCGTATCTTTGTGACTTGCCCCAGGCCTCTCGCTGTCATTCTMTAGCGACAATGAAATTTCTCAAACGAAATGAAGATGGTTATGAGATAGACGAAACAGAATAAGAGTAGGGTCAGTCTAACTGAAAACCAAATTCAATTGAAAATCGCAGAGGTGATACAAATGCTCTCCTCACATTTCAGACATAAATTAGACAGATTTTTAATTATTATTTTAATAGTATAAATATGTAAATTATGTGAAATGTGAAATAAACATTGATTGATTGATTGATTGATTGATTGAAACCTCAGTCTTTCGCCTCTCTGACAGTCGGATCGGAAAATCTTCGAAAGTCGTTCGGGAAATTGCGTCGCTCGAGAGTAAACACTAACGTGCGGGGATCCGAGAAAGGTCTGTCGTACGGCTTCCATTTATRGTTGTGCATACACTAATGTTCACGTGGGTGTTACTAAATGGCGAAACAAAGAAACGACGAAACAGCGAAACAATACTACCACGCTGTACCATACATGATCCCTGTATTTCATTTTTGCCTATTTCGAATTTTRAAATAAAAAAACTAGACGCTCGATATAAGAGTGCTTGCATGGTTTCCTGTAGCAATGATAACTACACCTGGATGGCATGTGTGCTACACCATCTCAAAAACTTCCAGCAGCAAGGTGAAATGATTGAGTACCATATAGAGTAAATTGGTATTGCAAAATATTTTTGGAAACGAATTTTGTACTTCTGATGTTGTATATGCATTTCAGAGACAGGCTTAGTAATTTTGATGCCTCTAAACTCATATTTTTCTGTAAGTGATAATACAAAAATTAGGTAACAGCTAATAGCGGAGCTCCAGTGGCAATATAGTACTGAAAAGAATGATTTTTATTGCCAAAACRACTAAAAATTGAATTTACGAGCGCTTCGCCATTTTTGTTTTCTCCAACCATTGTCTATCACGCAATAGAACATGGTTGCGCAGCCAATGAGAGCGCGCGATTTGTAATAGRCCATAAGTTTTTGGATACTAAAAAGCTTTAGCATTTTCTTGGCATTTGAGAAAGGAAAATTTATCGGAATTAAGTTAAAGAATMAAGGTAAAATTAAATACGTAAGATATTCTTGTACAGTTTGCTGTGGTGTGGAGTATTCCCGGTTGAATTATCGATTCTTTGCCGCGTCTATCTTAAATCTGATTGCTTGTAATAGTATGTAGACTATTTGCATTAAAACCAATTGTTCCACATCTTCACTGCATACTCATTACCTCATCCGGAATGATTAAGTTATGGGGAGCGAAATCCGCGGATGCTGAGGTAATAGGTATGCTTAGAAGAGGTGAATGGTACACCGCCACCAGGGGAGGAGGGTGGGGCAAAAACTGATGTCTTCCTCCGTTCAACTGATTGAGTGTTTCTTGATCCGCCGGTTACGTGAATTTATACTCTAGGTGTGCAGGGGATGCCGGGTAATGCTTATACACGAGATCCCGTTGAAAWTTAGGGTATTAGATAATCATTTGCGGTGAGCTAATTAATTATGCAGTGAAAATAGTTCCACATCTTCACTGCATACTCATTACCTCATCCGGAAAGATTAAGTTATGGGGAGCGAAATCCGGCTACTGCCCTCACCGCTAGGTTATTTATCATTGGAGTGCCGCAGGCGAGCGAAACTCGCACCCTTCTCTCCATTACTCAGAAACTCCACTTCCTCAACAAATAGGGTTCCGAATAAAAAATACCAAAATCACCTCTAACAAGACTCGATAGACTTTATTAGGTGGCACTCGAAGTGATACTTTGAAATGCTATTATCTAAAATACCCCTTTAAAAAAACCGTCTGGAGTGCCTTGTTCGTATTCCGCAAAAACCAATTGCCTATTTATCGGTTTGAACTGTACGTGGTGCAAAGACGCATTCAAGGTTGTCGGGATGTGAAACCGAGCATCGAATACGGCCTTGCCTATCCTGTGCAAACTTATCCTGTGCAAACTTAGTAAAGGCCTAAAAACCTGACTAGATTCTAGTCGACCCAAATCCGACGCGCGATCCCCTGTGAAAAAGTCAACTACGAGGAACGCAGTGTCCCTGACTAAGATATACTTGTCCGCTCTTGAAAGACTCGAGCTTTCCTGAATGCGATTTCTAAGATAACCTACAAGAGCCTAGTAAATTTCTCGAGGAACAATGGGACTGCCTGTGAAGGCACAACTCCCACACCGGCCTGTTCCTCCCGAACAAACTTCAAGTACTCCTTTACACGGGGATGCGCAACCGGATTGGAGTCATTCAACCGTCCCATATTGTTAAAGATAGCTCTAATCTTGCCAAGCAGTGAGTCAACTGTCCCTGCGGCTAACCGGCGTGGGTACTGACAACCTCTCCGGGAGCAGTTCTTAGAGTGGACCAGCGTCCTCCCCGACTCATTGTCTTTAAAAAACTTTATGATATCCTCTGCATTGCACGAGGATATTGTCTTTGGGGGGTTGAACGAGGACACAAAGTCCTCAAACTCCTTTTGAAGGGCCGATTTCTGCCGTTGGTATGTTCCACCCTTTACTCTTTCCGTGAACTCCTGGAACCTGTCGTTGATAGACTTGTGTTGTACTTGGATTATGGAACTTATATTGCCTGTGCGACGAGAAGGATGGCCGCAAGCCTGGCAGAAGTTTTCGTCAAAGTCAAGTTTGCAACAGGAGAGAGCGGAAAAATTGAACAAGCGGAGTAGGTGTTTGCTAGCAAAGGCATCGAAAGGCCCACAGATCCCACTGTAAAGGGCGAGAGGCCCACGTTGAGCTGGGCTTAGCGCCCTGGAAAAGTAAAACTGCATGTGAACCCTTGTTTCCTAACAACAAACGGTCTACAACGAACGCTTGCAGAGTTGCCCACCAAAACGGCCTTGGTCGGATGTCTGGGGCGACCAGGGTGAAAGAGCCGTGGAAATCTTGGTCCAGGATAATAACGGAGCAGGGGCCCAAGAAGCACAAACGGCGGGAAAACATACAAGTTGTGGTTTCGGGGTAGTTCTTGAGCAAAGACATTGATACCTGCCGTACCTGGGGTTGCCCACGGAGTGAAGTGTGGAAGTGGACTTCCGTTACTATCCGTTCGACAGTTGCTGTCCAAAGACACCAGATCGAAGGAATGAGACCCAAAGTACCGTTCTACGCGAGCCCATGCTTGGGGAGAGAGTGTACAATCCGCATCGGAATATCTTCTCGAGGGTTGTTCTGCGGGGTTTTCTTTGGAAAACTTATTATCACGACTGTGGCGAAGGATCTCTTTGATCACGGTGTTGACCGCCGAACTTTTACCGCCGTCGTTATCCAAAGCGTGCTTTAAAACTAGGCTGTCGAGGTGGACGTCAACTCGAGAGTTCGCGATCTGATTCCTGAAGGCCTCAAAAGCATTTAGAAGGGCTCTGGCCTCAAGCACGTTGATGTCGCCTCCCGCATCGGCTTGCCAGTAATCGCTAGACTGAAAGGTGTTTCCGCCGTGTTGCAGCGTGGCTCCCCACGCGCGTAACGACGCGTCGGAATACAGCGAAACGGAAACGTGCTGTTCGGGACGCCAACACCAACAATCCTCCCATGTGTCTAGGAAACGCCAATGAAGCAGCTCGTCTTTGAGGTCTCCCTTGATTGGAATCACTGACTTTGACGAACATGACAAGCGTGATATGGCCTTGAAGACCTCGCGACTGTATAGCCTACATCCTGGGATGGCCAGACAAAAGGAAAACACCTTTCCAGCGAATCTTTGGAGAGATTTTAGATCAACAACTCGTGATGCCAGGATATTCTCCCTGAGTAACTTGAACTTTTGACGTTTGTCGTCAGGGACCACAAATGCTTGGCGGGTTGAGTCACATTCAAACCCCAAGAATCGCACTACCGTAGCAGGAGTGCATTGAGATTTCTTGATCCCAATGAAGTATCCGGCATCGACGAGGAGACGACACATGATGTATGCCGCTGCCTCTGCGAGCATGCTACTTGGGGGAAACTTATCAACCATATCCTCCGGTCTAAACAGCTGGCCCATATGGTGATCGTCGATGTATTGCGAAACCGGGACGCCGAAAGATCTCGCCGCGTCTGGCACCAAAAGGCCGAGCTTATGATAAATGAAAGCGCTTGCTTTCCAGCCGAAAGGGAGCGTCCGGTATACAAAGAATACGCTCTTAACCCTAACCCAAAAAATGTCCTCGATGAGGGGTGCAAAAGGACGTGTTGGTAAACGCTCATGTCGTCGAAGCACGTCTGAAAGTGGCCTGGTAGAACGTATCGCGGGAGGTCTGGCAGTTGATCAAGTTTGAATGGAAGATCCTTGATCCACAGGTTCAAAAATCGCTCATCGTGGCATAGACGCGGTTTAGAAGGTTCT